CAGTGCAGGGGACAGTTCCTGCTGGTTTTGCAGCTCCGGTATCCCCTCGGAGGCGATGAGACGCAGGGCCTGGAGGAAGAGGAAAGACGGGACTTTACCTCTTTCTTTCCTATCCCTAACTGCTCACACAGACCCCATTTTTGAGGCTCCATTCTGCAGTGGCAGTTTCTTGCCTGGCAGAGGGTTCAAAATGACTTTTCTACCCTGAGAAAAAGACCCCAATGCAGCCACAGCTCTTCCAACATCCAAATGATCTCGCCTTGAGAGCCGATTTCACTGGCCGACCAAGTCAGCACATTTTGCTTCTCTGAGGATTGACTTTAGAGGTTTTTTTTTCAGGTTCTTTTCAAGGTTGATGCAACTAAAGCTCTAGCAGAGTCCAGTGTGCTCCAGGGCCTTTTTTTGATGGATAGGCCTTAGTTGCCCTAGCCCAAGCTGGTGGGAATGGGATGTTGTCTCATGGGAGGCCAAACAGGGGACAGATTCGAAAGACAGTGGTTATCTGGGAGTATTTGCACCTTACCTTGTGAGGATTTTCCCAAAAATAAGGAGGATGTCCTTCCAGCATTTCTATCACCACGATGCCTAGTGCCCAGATGTCCACTTTGGATCCGTATTCCTCTTTGTTTAGATATTCGGGTGCCATCCAGTGCGGTGTCCCAACAAGTGAGCTTCGCTTGCTCTGCTCAGGGGTGACGCGAGCAGCGAGACCAAAGTCAGCTGAGGACAAAAGGCAGTCTCATGAAAGGCAGCCTGAGTCCTGAAGCCAAGTGCAAGAATTCCCCCCTGGAAGCCTGAGGAGGCCGAACGTAGCCGGCAAAGGGGCCGTGCTCTGTTTCCTCAGGGCTGTAGCCGAGGACACCTCGTTCCTCTCTGCACGTTGCAAGTGTGCTCTCAGCCTGTAGCCGTGCTGCCTGCACTGCCACAGGCACCGCTTTTTGGGAACTGGCAGTCAGTCTCCAGCAGCCCCACGCGCCGCCTGCCGGGAACAGCAGGCCTGACCTAGAACACCTACCCAACTTGACGGATCCATCCATGCCGAGGAGAAGGTTGTCGCCTTTGACATCCCTGTGGATCACCTGGTGGCAGTGGAGAAACGCTAGGGCTTGCAGGCACTGCGAGAGAAAAAAGAAAGAGGAGAGTAAAAAGGAATGGCCCAATTTCATCCCCCAAGGAAAGAAATGGCTTTCAAGCTTTCCATTCTAGGGGAATGGGCAGGACTGGCAGAACGTGGTGTTGTCGAGAGGAAGAGCTTGTTGCTTCCTCACTAGTAAACCCCCATCTTTCCGAGGGAAGGCAGAGGAGCTTTGGAGCTTTGGAAAGCGAAATAGCAGTCGTTGTCACACCGCATGCCCTGCAGACCCAGAGAAAATGAGTGCTGCTGCAGTGCACGGGCTCTCTCCATCCAGAGGATAAATCCTGGTTT